AATTCATTCTGTATCGAAAGTTAATAATCATCAGTTATTAAATTGAGAAGTTACATGGTTGCAAGATGAATCTAGACTCATACCTTAYTACATGCTTAACTATTCAACAAATTGATTCTACTTAATATTTAAACTTCAATTCTTCCACAAAACAAGATACAAAAAGAATATAACTTTGATTTTTAGTAGTTTATGTAATTTGAGCTGACCACTAAATAAACAGTTTTTTTCTTACACATAATACTTGAATGAAATAACTCTATGCAGTATATATTTTTCAATTTTCAATGGATCACCTATAGCAGCATCTTTTGGTGTGAACTTTAACTTATAAGCTTTAATGGCTTAAACTTAAGCTTATATACTTACATTGTACATTAGGATCAGCTACTTCCTCATACAATTAAGTACATTTTGTAACTTATATATTTTTTCGATTAATTTTTTCCAGAAAGGAAATGGAAAGGAAATGAATAAGAAAAGCAAATATTGGGGACACCAGATTTTCAACTTTTATCAACGAAATACAAAATATGACAACGAAAAAAATTCAAAAAAGTTTCGATACAATTCCTAAATAAGCTAACTTTTATTGATAAGGAGTGCATGTCCAAAAATACTTATAAAAATCATAACTAGTCTTTAAATGACAAAAAAAATAATAAAAATAAAATCTGACTTACCAAACAATCTAAGATGCATATGTGTTACTGGATTGAACGATCCACAGCTTAGAAGTATCACTTTTACTGGCTGACAGGATTTATGCAGCCCCGCCATCTTGAAAGCAATGAACAGCTCGACACAGGTATTCCGTATTCTTCTTTTTTTATCTCAGCATTAATTTAGTAAATATGTACGTTTATGTTAGTTTCTAAGTATAAATTTCTGTAGATAGATGTTTGGGGTTTACTTGGAGGAAACTTACGTCGACGGATGAATTATTTTGCCGAAATGTACTGTATTTTAGATTCTACCTCTTGATTAATCAAATATCGATTACTTCCTTATCCGTTGCCACTAGTTACGAGAGTATCCCATAATACTCTCTCATCTTAGGAAGATAAATATGGARTCGAAAAATCTCTAGAAGTCGATATAAAGATGATGTAAATTCGTACTTCTGGTATAAAAACGCGATTTTCGTCGCTTCCTTTTCCCTTATTCTCATGAAAGGGATATTGAACAAAGGTATGTAATGGAGTTTAAGTACAAAGAAGACAAATTTGATGTGTTTTAAGGGGTTTAAATTGGGCGTTCGATTTTGTAGGGAAGTTCTTTGTTAGTGTGGGCGATATTTCGTAGAAGTGTATTCAATAGATTTTCGGGAACTTTCTACTTAAAATTCTAATTTTATTATTCAATTCTTTTCGTTAATGTTACAGCTAGTTTAAGGCAACATCTTGTTCGTGTTTTTGTGTTTAAATTCCAGGTATAAATTATGTATGAAAAGCTCCTGTGACACTTTTATCAAAACATGGACACACTCTCTATAGGGTTTTGTAAAGAACCATGCATCATGGAGTCTTTCAATAATTTATCTTCAGTAGCGAGAATTTATTTCATCAAATCTCTGCCAAGGCTAAAAGTCTTCACAAAGAAATGTTCAAACCACCATTTGTGAAGTTATTTTTGGCCAAATGTCGTTGTCAAGCACTCAATTCACAAACACTCGAAGTCTTGGTTTTATCGTTTGTTGATTTAAGTTTATGTAACATGTTTTATTTTTAAATCTGTGTTTTTAACTTTATTCTTTAGAGCAATAATGTCTAATCCTGGTAGCGGCAAGTCGGAATTCATTGTTGGGGGGAAATACAAACTTATTCGAAAGATCGGAAGTGGCTCCTTTGGGGATATATATTTAGCTTTAAATATTACAAATGGAGAGGTGAGTTAAAATGAATGAAATACTCTTTGAACTTACAAAAAATRAACTTTCTTGCTGCTTGACATTAATTTTGAAACAAATTTTTCCTTTGATTTGCGTGCTTTGAACAGCAAGTGTGTATAAAATAAATTTCATTGTCCAATTGCAAACGCATTATTATTCTGTAAGAATATTYATTTTTTGTCACTTAAAATATGCTGATATTTCCTCTATATTTCTATTATTTTGTCCAATTTTATTATTCTTGTATTTAATGATATTCTTGATAACATGGCTGCATGTTTTAAATTTGTGTAAAAAAGCATTTTGATGTAACATATAATTGKAAGGTTATTGATTGGAGGCAGATGTTATTGATTGTGGCAATAGTAATGTTGTTCTACCAGTCATCTTGGACCTATTTGAATTAAGATGAAAGATGATGACAGTTATCATTGACATGTTGTGTAGTTTGCCAATGTTGCTTATACATCAAGCAATTTTAATTTTAGTGTGGAAGCATGTCAGTATGTATTAAACATGCTTAGGGGGAGCCTTTGTGTATATGTCCACAAGAAAAGATGGGAATTGAGATTGCAGTGAATATATGTTTAACACAAGAATTGAAGTGAAATAAAGCCAATTAGAAAAATTGATTATTCATGGTGATTTTTCAAGTTTAAAACATTTTTCGTTACTGCAGTTTAATTATCAAAAGACAAATTGCTTTTATGTTGTACATGTAGGTATGGATGTATGCTGCTCATAGTATTATTAAKAATTATAATTAAATCATGCCGTGTCGGTGTATATACAGATGTATACATCATAATCTCAATYTCAAGAGTTTATCAACATCTGTATTCATTCATTCATTATGGTCCCTGATATGATGATGTAATAAGATGGTGCCTAAAAAAAGTAAATGAATAAATAAAAAAGATAAAAAATGAAAAAAAAAGTACCATTTGTGTCTGAAATATGTATTTAAAGAACTTTCTTTCCTGTAATGGCATTGATCAAGATTCAATTCCCAAGAAAAATTGTTAAAAAGTTAAAATGAATTTTGAATTTTGAAAAGATGGACTTAYAACTGCTAATAAAAATGTTGAACCTGACCTAACATGATGCAGTAGGRTCTTGAATYACAAGGCCTTGKGGTGTCAAGGGGCAAATTAAAACAAAAATGCTTGATGTATTAATTGTGTATTAATTGCAAATTCTTTCTCTCTCATCTGGTTCTTTTAACTCAATCATTGTTTTGTCAGTGATAAATCGAGTCCATTCAGAAAGGCATGAATGCCTTGAAAAATTTTAAAAATGTTGTTAAATGAATTGTTATATATTTGATCAAAATTTCAAACTTTATACAATTAAATAAAACCAACTACTGTACAGCTTGGAAAAGGTCACAAATAGACACAATTTCATTGTTAGTAACAAATGCAAAGCTCATTCATTATGTTTTTCATCCTGCTTTCTTGAGTTTCAGCTAAAGTCATTTCTCAATTGCACATTCCTGAAATAATTTTGTGTGGTCATGCCTTTGTGATTTGCTCTGTAACTGATGCCTATTTGGTGTATTTGTCTCCTGTCAAAATAGTTACTGTGTTTACTTGTTTTTGATAATGCCTCACTGTTTGCTCTCATCATTGCAGGAATTGGCTGTTAAACTTGAATCACAAAAGGCCAGACATCCACAGCTACTTTATGAGTCTAAATTATATAGAATGCTTCATGGTGGTATTGGCATCCCTAAAATGAAGTATGTAATTGTCATGATCAGACAAGTATCTGTTCTGATATAACATGATACGTGTAATGTGCTTTCACCTTTGAATTGTTCTACACAGGTCATGTATTTGCAGATTGAAGTTCATATTCAATAGATATTGTACATAATATGTAGTAAGAATCRAATTTGAGTTTGAACTATACATAGTACATAATAGGCCCTTTGCAGCTGGAGGTCAATTGACCACACCTACCTTAAAGCAATTGGGGTGGGAGGAGTGAGTCAACTATGACAARCTGTCAAATGCCTACCCCAGTAATAGACCCTTGTTGTTTTGAACTGACAACCTCTTGCATGTTCCGCTGTCATCCAAGCTGATTCACATATTAGGTGTGCTTTTTGTCCAAAAGACCCCAAGTATGCTTGTATATACTGTRTGATTGGTCTTTGTTTCTGATTCTCTACACATAGGAAATACATATACATGTACAAAAACAGAGACAATGTATAAGYATACAGCATAAAAGGGTTGGAAGTACACTATAGATACATTAAGTGATATTAAAGGTGAATAATTGATCTGTTACTTTTTAGATGGTTTGGTCAAGAAAAAGAATACAATGTTCTAGTAATGGAACTATTAGGGCCCAGCCTAGAAGACTTGTTCAACTTTTGYTCTAGAGATTTTTCAATGAAGACAGTTCTTATGCTAGCTGATCAAGTAAGCACGTATTGATAACTTGTATTGTTTAAATATCTATTTCAACCATAATTGTATAATTAAATTATTTATTGCAATCAAATTATTATCATCTTAAATCAATGAATTAAAGGAGTATAAAATGGAGTATAAGAAATAAGACACAAACACYATTACCACAACAATAGTACAGTTAACTGGCACATATAAGTTTGTCYCTGATTTCCAAGTAACTTGATTTATAGATGAGCAGTGGCAAATTCAGAATGATGCAAGGGGGCCATCAATTAATGTAGCTCAAGAAAAAAATATTTMTAGATTTAGGGCTGTGAAAAATGACTCTCAGTCTGCTTTTTTTTTCCAGAATTTGTTCTGCATATTTTTTTCTTTATAATTTATTATTTTTG